TGTTGCAATGGGTGGGAGGGTACGATAAATTTTTTTAAGGAATATGAATTTTAAGATAATTTTCTATATTCTAATGCTAGCGTTTTAGAAGGTGATAGAAATGTCATCTAAACCGGAAGTAGATAAAGAGGAAGTGAAAGATATCGATCGTGATCCAAACGAATCATGCGTGACCGATATCAGACGATACATGTCGTTTACATGGCATAACGGTATACTCTACGGAACATATATATTTACAATCTCACCGTAAAATACTGACCATTATACTTATTATTGTGCTATGACCCCATAACGAATACCTATACTTAGAGAGCAATTTAGTGGAATATGTATACGTGCTCTCTTAAAAACCATGACCCAAACAACACAGTGTCTATACTGAAAAGGAATTTCCCAACTTGTCATGCAAACAGCTTCAAATTTTGATTTTAGCATTTGCAGCAGTATTGCATGCGAACGAAGGCAAATTACTATTGCCGTATAGGCATTACGTGATTGGGAGTGTGCTTGTTGTAATAATGTCTCGCAGCAATATACCATATTACGTTACGGAAACCATTTATGGCGATTGCTTTAGAGTAAAGTATTCTCGCTCGCTGATAATGAACATTTTGGCCGGAATATCCTGAGGCATGTCTTTTTATTGAAAACGTCATTTAATAGCCCCTCATTCATCGCTGCAAATTATGCTGAAAATATAAAGAATATTTTTTTAATCCTTACCAATGAAATATAAACTGCATCTGTCTGGATGGTTATTTTTGGTTTATGATATGCTTAAAAGGAATCGTTTCAAAAAAAATTGAACAGACATTTATACGGGGATATGACGTTACGACAAGATGGTTTCCCCGAATATGACAAGAAACATCCCAGAGTTCCGATTGGAAAACTGTCACGTGAAAAAGTTCCGTATGTAATGTTTTCATAGCAACAGTTTCCTATCGAGTCAGGACTATGGATTTGTAAACAGATACTTTTGTAAAGTATTATTACAAGTAAATTGTCAATGTGAGACTATTACTGTATCATGTATTCCCGTACCTTTTACGCCGTTATCGACATAGCCTAGTGTGTACTAGTGGTCGTGGTATTGCCGTAGCCTTACTTTGTTTGATAGATACTATACAATGTATGTATCAATGAGAGTAGGACTATAAAAACTAAAAAAAATGTGAATTATTGTCATGACAACAAACAAGCGTTGACGGCAGTGATCTAGTTTGTGTCCTATAAAACGTCACCGTTGTCAAAGTTACGTCCAACTGTTATAAAAAAAACTTGTCCCCTGAGAATCGTTATCTAAAATCATTTCTCACTGTAAAAACTTCTGTATTTAACGTATAAAAAGAACATATCAGATTTGCTTTAATGGGAAGATTTAGAAGAAATTCCCTTCGTTGTTTGAAATCCTTTTCGTGCCAATGCTGCGTCTATTCTCAGTATGATCTGGCTAGGGTGTGAGCTCCCCGGTCTTTATTGACATAACGAAGGTTGCCATTATACGGCAACTATAACCTGGCGTGAGATTAAAATGACATAAAAACCTCATAAATTACTGGCACACTTCAAATTTTCGATTTTATAAATTTACCCTATTCGTTTCGAAATCTCTGTTGAAGTTCAAGATACAATTTGATTTCAGAGTACTTTTATGATATTTCCCGTTTCCGGTCGTATAATATAGGTCTACAAGGACATGCGCGTCTAACTTAATGCAATCAATCTCTTTTATATATAAACAGGTAAAATAACATTAACGCAGTTTTGTTTTATGTATTAAAATTTGGCTTCAGAGTGTTTATCCTCATCTACATTGGACGACTCCTGATCTACAGACACTATATTGGCATCACAAAAACATGCGTTTTATTATTTGACAACTTGTGATTGCATCAAAACAATATACAAATTTAACAATAGGATTGTCATTTTCAAATGAAGTATGGTTGACAATTGAATAACAGTCGGTCGCGAAAGTATCCTATTTAGCAAATTATATCATATTTAAATTACTTTCAGCTTCCGCGTATTTTTCCTGAATTAAGTCGATTCAGGAACCTAGCTAGTGTCACACGTGCCTCGTGTCACACGTGACTCTTGTCGAGTGATTAGATTACGGTTCCAGCTCTAAAAGGAAACAAACAAGAATTCATTAGCCTCCACAAGTATTTAATGCTGATTAAAGCTGAACGATTGTCACGAAAATGTTCAAAGGGCTTCGTTTCCTAATAAGATGGCTGGTAAACAGCATTAAAATTAATTAAATTAAACAGTCGCGCGTACGGTATTAATTAAGGTCGATCCATTATGTTTTTACCTTTTTGATCTTAGCAAAGTTTGGTTTCAACATAACTGCATTATTTTAATCTAAAATATCTCAATCAGTTTTACTAGCGTAATGACATCTGCTTTTGTAGTCCACTTAATAGGCTTACTAGTAATATATTCACCCCTCCCTGACTATGCTGAGTGCAACAGTCTTATTATAGCTATAAACTGAAAACAACTACGCGTACGTTTTGTCAGATACCTATCATGTCAGCAAGTATACTGCTACAAACATTTAAGGAAGGGAAATAACTGTAAACTGTCTTAGAATCATGATTAACCCAAATATCAACAACAAGCTCATTCTTTGTCTGTCTGATTGGTCGAATAACGAAAGTATAACACAAACTGCACATGGTTGCTTTTGTAGAAAAATGCACAAAGTGCCTATCTTCCAGATAAGACTGTTACATGTAGGGATGCTTACATTAGTTTTCGGCAAGGTAATGTCGTATACTATACCTTCTCTTTGAAAAATGCGCATATATAATAGTTAACCAGAAAAATAGTATGCCTATTCCTCAATATAAAAATGTGCAAATCTGCATCCATCATAACAGGCAGTAACGGGCGAATTGAACAATATTTTATACAAAAAGCTGGGGTGTTTTTTCCGAGCGCAGTTTAGATGGTTCAAACTATGTACCAGACTTGTTATAACGTCACATGCTCTCCCGAGTACCTATTTTGACATTTGTTACTTTACGCTCCCTCGAGTACCTATTTTGACATTTGTTACTTTACGCTCCCCCGAGTACCTATTTTGACATTTGTTACTTTACGCTCCCCTGAGTACCTATTTTGACATTTGTTACTTTAAACTGCATTTAATTCACTACTCAAACATGTGATTACATATGATTTCAGAGGGATGGAAAAACAAGCTGAAAGTTTATATAGCTGCCTTATCATATTAAGAAGAGATGTTGATCTGATGTTTAAAATTCAGCACATCATTTAACCAAAATCTGAACCATCACTCAGACTACTTCATGACGTAACCATATTCCAGTTCCCGGCATTGATATGAGGCTAGCTTTATTGGGATATATAAAACGAGTTTGTTGTAGAAGTTTTAAGAGGAGAATAGAAGGGGATTCGTATAAGGGGTTTGTTGTAGACGGGAAGATGTAAAAGAAGAAAAGAAGGAATTCCGTATAAGGGGGTTTGTTGTAGACGGGAAGATGTAAAAGAAGAAAAGAAGGAATTCCGTATAAGGGGGTTTGTTGTAGAAGGGAAGCCATAAAAGCTGAGAACAAAAGGATTTCTAAAAGGATAGTTATCGTAGAAGGGAAGATGCATGAGGGAAACAAAAGCTGTCAATGTTAACATCATCAGGAGTAGGAACTAAGGCACTGGAATGCAGTACAAGTGTACCCTACACCGAAATGTAAATTAAGACGAGTACATCACCATGAATGAGATAGATTTTCTGATGGGTGTTTAATCGATAAAAAGAAAAGATTATTTTTTTTCTTTGGTGAATGATGAATGGAATATAGTTTCGAGATAAAGGAAAGTCCACGGGAAACTCCGAAAAAAAGTGGGAGGTATTTTAGGGTCAGGGGAAGGGCAGATAAGGTTGGTTATCGGCAGGGGTGTGTTCGGTGGAAGGATTCGCTGGGAGCTCGCAGACTCGGGTAGAGCTTGATGAGAAACACTTTATGGCACAGCAGTGTGCGCTATAATCTCGTCTGCAGCAGTGAGAAGGCGAACAGGCCTAACGCTACAGGGACCCATTACATTACAAGCACCATCATCGTTTCACGTTCATTCGTAAGAGCCTTCGTTACAATATTGCTTATACAAATATATTAATCTTTTCCGACATAGGTTAATAGGGCAAAACCCCAAACAATAAAACCACCGGGGAGGGACCCAAGGGCAGATAACTCTAGATTAGAGAAGGTATGTCTGGGAAGTTTGTTTCATTGTGGTACATGTATCACGAGATATTAAAAGGCAGTTATGTATCTGTATAATTTATACACGGCTGAATTCACTTATCGTACAGGAAGTTAAGAAAAGATAACTCTAGATAACAAATTCCATCAGGGGAAAATGGACAAAAACGTCCTTGACTTTTACGATATAGCTAAAATAATTGCATATAATGCAATTCCCTTATCAGGTTTTACGGGAGGTCAACAGCAACTTCGGAGCGGCATGCATGGCGTGTATCGAAAAAAACTCATATCATTTCTAGGTATGAATACAATTACGGAATGTTTTTTAAAGCAGGAAAAGTGGTCCCGACCCCATTAGGCCATCTTGGTCTGACTTTATTACAATGTAAACTTTAGTACGTGTTGATAAGTACATGTAATTAGTGTATACCTAACAACAAATGATACGTAACCGTTTCCCACATCGCCATCCTAATCCTATACCTTAATTGGGTTACTTAGGTATTTTTGTTTGTTTGCGATGCATTTATATTTTCTTTATGAATCTTCAAAATTTAAACTTTTCTCTCAATATTTTAAGAACCAGAATGACACGCAAGATGTAAAGGCGATCTTTCTTGGGGTTTGTTTCGGATATTCATTGATTTGATGTGATTTGAACGGCCTGACACTTCACTCAACCGTAGTACAGGTAAATCGATGACACAGTTTCACCTGTCCCTAACCAGACTGGAGGCAACAGAATGATGGCTGACTTACCTTCCAGTAGAATCGCTGATGTGTTGTCACCATTGCTCGCCACGACCGTGAACCGTCCACTGTTGGCGGTCGTATTGAGGAATTGTAAAAGATCCAATACATGTCTTGATTTGAGGTCTAAACTTACACCTGAAAAACACAAAAAGAGAATGCTACATTAGGAAACTAACGTTAAATAAGTGTTCAGTTCGTAAATACAAAGAAAGTAATCTCCTAATTAGGCATAGGAAGCAACAGTAGCGTATCACCGTTTACCTTATATAATTGCATGCTCACGTAAAGAAAGTCAAAGACATATCTCGGGTGACAAATGCGAAAATGTATTCATACGACTCCGAGTTGATACATGCAGACTTTCCCAGTGTAACGAAAATTTCTCATATGGAGTACATCTAAACAATAAATCACATGCACTATGATTATTAAATTAATATTAAAAATCGTGGTGAGATATTAAAGTCTAATTCGAGACGAGGCTAATGTATTGTTTGTCTATCAATGCGTAACACAGCTGCTCTAATATACAATTGTACATCTTAAATGACAATAAAAGGACGTATTCCCAAAACAATCATCATGATAACAAAACAGCTTCCTCAAATTTCCATTTCCATCATTGGTAGAACTGCACCGAGAGTTACAATGACCCTACGAGGGCCTGGCTCACTACAATCTATCCAAACATCAGTGGAGCGGTAAGCGAGGGCAAATCTGTGGATGTCATTACAGGGTCAAAGAAGACAAAACAAAGATAATGAGAGTGTCCATTGTGTATTTGGATGGTACTTCCGGGTTGGCAGGCGCTGGACGTCTGCTATTTGCACTAAATGACCTGTGATTACCACCGGAACAAACTGACCGGCATCGGTGGCGTTATTATATTTTTGGCTGCTTTAGCGAGCTGATAAGGCTAAACCACCAGAAGGTAATCTAACTACCATATGACCAGACAATGCTAATTATGATCAATATATCATGACTACACCACCGTCTCATAAAGCATAAATCGTTTCAGAAACTTAAAATTTATCAACTAAATCGCAATTTCCTAAAAGCAATACGTTAAGATTAAAACATAATGCATCGGTTAAATTGATATATTTGCTCCTAACTTTCATTACAATTTGATTTCATTACATTTTTTTTGATCGATACTGGCTATCACTGTCTACCTAAGTCAATACAATGCATTAAAACGATGTGAATATCAAATTCTTCCCGGGCCTACATCTGTAGGGATAATTTTTAAATTAGCAGTGGGGAAAAATGGATTAATCGAGTCTTAAATAAAGACCTCTGTACAGTCAACATACATCAAAATATCCAATTTCTATTCGCATCAAAAACCCCATTATTCGATTGTTTCCATACAACGAGTGCGATAAACAAACACATTATAACAATAGAAATACACCAATTAGTGACGGTACATAACCACCAAGGTCATGATAAAGCAGTGTGTGGAGGACATATGCAATGGGGGCATTGTACATGCAAAAAAAAAGTAAGAACTTCGGACATGTTGACAAGAATATCATGTAAACATGTACAGTTCATTTCGAGACGTCCATTTTTTTTAGGAATTCACTTTGGGAAAAAACCTCAAATGCAATTCAGTGGTGTAAATAGACGCCCACCGTCAAATTAACGGACATAATGAACAATCAAAAAGTCGTAAAAACGACGAAAATCCTAGAATTGAGGATAAATCAAGCATGAATACCAAAATCCGTGAAAGAGATGGACGTTTACGGCAAATCTCACGGAATCAGAAATTGATTTTTCTTGAGATGAAACAGACAAGTATACGTCAACTGCAATTGCTATGGTCAACTACAAATGGCTATGGTCAAACATCGCATATAACGGTCAATTGTGACTACGGGGGTAATGCGTGTAGCGCATAAATACATCTGTGGTGTCATTTATAGCAGACAAAGAAATCACGTTAGTAAATCGCCGGAAATTGACAGGCATTCAATAGAAACGTCGACCCTACAATGGTCAATTTACAGAACCCAATAATTGAGAGAAGCAAGCTCCGTGTCAGTGTAATAGGAACACATTTCAATCTCCGCCTTGATTGTTCAGATTTGATTTTTTATCATTTTCTTGTTTGCGACTCAGACATTTTGACGACAGGCAAAACTTGTAAATTGTTATTACGGATAACGCCCCAGAATGAGGTTGATGCTCGATTTTTAATATATGTGATCACTGTATTGAAAGATTGGAATTCGTTTAAGATAACCTGTAATTGAGAGATGCATGTCAGATTTGCTTTAGCGGAATAAACAATTGAAAAGGTGAACAAGTTACTTCTCCTTCTTATCAACGTTTAGTTAGTTTTGCATTGCAACGTTATACAACAACAAAAAAGGTAACAGAGGGGCAGTCGGAGAAAAGGTCGTGTCAGGATAGATACACACAAGATTTGGGAACGAGGGAGTGACGGGACGGAACCACCAAGGTCATTATGATATAACAGTGTGAGGAGGACATTTACAATGGACACACAAAAAATCGCTTACAGCGCTCCATTAGCAAATCGATTCTGTCACAACAGATAAAGAACATGACCTACATTTCAATAAATAAGATATTTTAAAATCAACGTGTAACGGACTTTAATAAGTTACTTTTTAATATATGATATTTGTCCCGGGTGATTCATGTTCTTGTCGTATTATATAAAGCAAGGATGATATGAATGCCATGCAACATTTCTTCGAACACGGCTTATTTGTAATATGGGTGTGTACGTATACCAAAATAATGGAAGAATTGAAAATATGGTTTCTGTATATACCTGTATATACAATCAGGATATTCCTGTATATACAATGAGCCGAGAAGACTCGAAAGCAGATTAATAAGAGGTTTCTTGCATACTTCAGTAGGCCGCCAACCCACACGATCCGCCAGACAGAACATAGCTCGGCAGGTGTTTACGTCATTGCATTAAGAAAGTCCAGCAGTGCTAGAGACAGACACAGAAGATATATTACAGAAGATGGAATTTGTTTTTGTTTTATAACATTTCCGTGTACTTTGTAAGTAGTATTTAAGAATGTATGCGCATTAAAATATTATATGTTGACCCCTGTCAAAATAAGTAAGGATGAGGATAATATAGAGCAAAGCGTTAAGTTATGTTGACGCGAGAGGTCAAAATCACAACTCAAAGCTGCCAACACAAAAACACAAGTCTAAACAATGGATCGTCAAAGAATCAATATCTCCGTAATTGTAAACGTGTCCTTCATCACATGTGACACTCGTCATAATGTCAAAGCCAGGACAGTATGTTAGTCACTGATCAAATGGTCTTGTTATACTTGTGAAATAACTCGAGTTATTGATTGGAGAAGCACACTTTGTATAATGATGATTCATACACCAATGAACATATGAGTATAAATAAATGAAGTATTAGCAATGCCCAAAGTTATAATAATTTCGTGCAGAGTATCTTCGGTTCTTCTTGGTGAATTGTGGATTTTGAGTTCTTGGCCCCGATTCCTCCAGGCTGTTCCTCTAAGAGCTATAACCAGTTGTGTTATCTAGTTTTCAATAAAGCGAGCTATCAGAAGAACTTAAACCAATTTTTGTTGGAACAACACGAAGTCCAGCCTCGTTAAACCCCAGAGAGACATGGACCACCCTACTGTGTACGTATCATAGGCAACACCACTGGTAGGCCTTACCAATTACGGATAATCGTTCAGGTACACACTGGTTATTAAAGACATTGTAGACCTTCTTGTGATAGGCTCTTTATTGCTTGTACGTGCCGATTAATTGAACTAGAGCTGACGAGTATAAGCGTATCTTCAGTTGAACTGGTATATTGTGAAATGTTCTCATTGTTCTATGTATCCTGTTATATTGTTAATTGCCTTCCGGTTACCATGCAACTAAAAGGAGCAATCAAATAGAATTGAAAGTATGATATTTTGTAAATGGTTACCACATCTACTCAATCAATATCATAGAATGGTTAATGTCGCTTTTCACCAGCGTGTTTGTCTAGATATTGCTGTATTCACGGTGTGTTTTCAAAACGATTTGTAAGACACATGTTTAAAAAGAGAACTTACAAGACCAATATTTGTCACTGTGTATAAAACAATGATAGGACAATACAACACAACCTTCTTATTATATTATAACACGATATTATCACAGCGATATGCAAGCACTAGTACAGGTTATCAAGACCTACTTTGTTACTGTACTGTAACAATATTGTAAGATTGTAAGACAATTACAAAGCAATATCGATACTACATACTGTAGGCCCTAACCAGGATTCCGCTGAGTAATTTGCAATAAGCATAAGTAAAGAAGGGATAGTGATGTCTAGATTGCCTTACAATGACTGAAAATTGTTTTGTAGTGAGAAGGTACAAGCCACAGCAGACACGACCAACAAAAACAGGTAGTAGACCTGTTAAGGCCTATCTTACAAGTTACACTAGACAGACTACAAAGGCAAAAAGTGCAACGGAAGTTATAGAGATTTTTGTCTAAATCACCCCTGCAAATGTCTTCTCCACCAAAACCTTTCCAACTAGATCCATATCTTTCGACCTGTCTTTAATAGGGGCACAGATTAATATAGTGAAATTAAAGTTAGATTAACAGTTTCCTCTGGGTCAGTCAGTGGGGGTCTATCGTTATTACGTAAGGTCGTGTAGTCTTCTAAATCTCGTTCTCAGCATGAAGGTGAAAATCGGTTAAATTGAAAATTGGCTTTGGTGCAGATTTCAAGATTACCTTCGTTTTTGAAATAACTTCCGGTTCTGGTGTTTTAGGTAAGAGTACCATTTGCTTCATGTTTTGAATAAGGTTATCTCTAAAGTTCTATTAAATGTTATATTTTTGGTGATGTTCATCTTTTCTGTTCAATTTTCAATAAACATCTATATGTGCTTGATAGTATGTACTATCTTCCAACATATGTAAATTGTCAAATCTTTGAAATGATAAAAATGCTAGGTTCGTCTGACAATAGTGTTGTCTATATTGATATATACATCTCAATTCAAATTAATTGCATTTTGTATCCAAAACAGATTAGGTGATATCGATCGAACTGCAAATAAATACAACACAAACAAATATAA